TCCTCGCCGGCATGGCCGAAGGGCGTGTGGCCCAGGTCGTGGGCCAGTGCCACCGCCTCGGCCAGGTCCTCGTTGAGGCCGAGTTGGCGCGAGATGGAGCGCGCGATCTGCGCCACCTCCAGGGAGTGGGTCAGGCGCGTGCGGTAGTAGTCGCCCTCGTGGTAGACGAAGACCTGCGTCTTGTACTGCAGCTTGCGGAAGGCGCCGGAATGCACGATGCGGTCCCGGTCGCGCTGAAACGGCGTGCGGGTCGGACTCTCGGGTTCGGCCAGCAGCCGGCCGCGGCTGGCCGCGGGGTCGCAGGCATAGGTGGCGGGGCTGGACGGGGCGGGCGCGCTCATGGCGCCAAGCCCTACCCTACCCGCCCGGCGCGGGCAATCGCGGCCTGCGCGGAACAGGCGTTTGGCCGGGCGGCCGGGACCCGAACCGCCGCGAGGGCTTGGACAGCGCCGGCCTCTCGCCTACCTTGTCGGGGGAAACCTGAGCCTGGGACTCGGAAGATGAGCGACGTGACCACTGCCGACTTCATGATCTCCCCCAACGCGGCCAAGCGGATCAGCCTGCTGGCGGCGCAGGAGGCGCAGCCCGACACCATGCTGCGGGTCTCCGTCTCGGGCGGCGGCTGCTCCGGCTTCCAGTACGGCTTCGACTTCGACACCGCGATCAATCCGGACGACCGCGTGTTCGAACGCGACGGCGCCAAGGTGGTGATCGACGAGACCTCGCTGGAGCTGCTGGCCGGCAGCCAGATCGACTTCGTCGAGGACCTGATGGGCAGCTACTTCAAGGTCGAGAACCCGCAGGCCGAGTCCGCCTGCGGCTGCGGGTCGTCCTTCTCGATCGCCCTTTAGGGCGCGATTGCCCCTCACGGGGCGCCGCCGCACCTGCTAGAACGGCCCCAGCGCTGCGTGGGGCCGTTCGCGTTTTGCGGCCCTGCCGCACCGCTTGTCCACGCCCCTGCCAAGAGTCCAACGAGGTCGCCCCAACGTCATGGTCAAGATCGCGAGCTGGAACGTCAATTCGATCAAGACGCGCCTGGAGGCGGTGCTCGCGTGGCTCGACGCGGCGGCGCCCGACGTGCTGCTGCTGCAGGAGCTGAAGTGCCAGACCGGCGACTTCCCGGCCATGGAGTTTAAGGCGCGCGGCTACGAGAGTCGGGCCCTGGGGCAGAAGAGCTACAACGGCGTGGCGATCGTCTCGCGCGATGAGATCGCCGATCCGCTGGAGGGCCTGCCGGGCGATCCGGACGACACCCAGGCCCGCTACCTGGAGGCCACGACCTGCGGCCTGCGCGTCGCCTCCATCTACCTGCCCAACGGCAATCCGGTGAGCACCGGGAAGTTCAGCTACAAGCTGGCCTGGATGGAGCGGCTGGCGGCCCATACCCACGGACTGCTGGCGCAGGAGGCGACGGTGGTGCTGGGCGGCGACTACAACGTCATCCCCGAGCCGGTCGACTGCCACGACCCGCCCGTCTGGAGCGGCGACGCGCTGTTCCAGCCGGAGTCGCGCGCGGCCTTCCGCCGCCTGCTGCACCAGGGCTACACCGACGCCTTTCGCGCCCTGCATGGGGCGCAGCGCGGCGCCTACACCTTCTGGGACTACCAGGGCGGCGCCTGGCAGGGCGACGAGGGCATCCGGATCGACCACCTGCTGCTCAGCCCGCAGGCGGCCGACCGGCTGGAGGCCTGCGAGATCGACCGCGGTCCGCGCGGCAAGGACAAGCCCAGCGACCACACGCCCATCTGGTGCAGCCTGAGGGAGTGACGCCGCGCCCATGCCGTTCCTGCCGCTCTACGACAACAACCCGCGGATCTGGATCAAGGCGCCCTACGTCACCTGGGGGCTGATCGCCCTCAACGTGATCGGGTTCCTGCTTCAGCTCGAGGGCGGAACGCGGCAGTTCCAGGCAATGGTCTACGGCTACGGCTTCATCCCGGCGGTGCTCAGCGGCGCCGCCGAGCTGCCGCCCTGGCTGGCCTCGGCGCCGCCGCTGCTGACCCTGGTGACCAGCCAGTTCCTGCACGGGGACCTGCTGCACCTGGGCTTCAACATGCTGTTTCTCTTCATCTTCGCCGACAACATCGAGGACGCGCTGGGGCACGGCCGCTTCCTGGCCTTCTACCTGCTCTGCGGGGTCGCCGCGGGACTGGCCCACTTCGCCTTCAACTTCGCCTCCGAGGTGCCGGTGGTCGGCGCCTCGGGCGCCATCTCCGGCGTGCTGGGGGCCTACCTGCTGCTCTACCCGCGCGCCTGGGTGATCACGCCGGTGGTCTTCATCCCGCTGATGGTGCCCGCCGGCCTGGCCCTGCTCGTCTGGTTCGGCTTCCAACTGCTCAACGTCTTCGAGGGCGATACCGCCAGCAACGTCGCCTGGTGGGCGCACATCGGCGGCTTCGTCACCGGCCTGGCGCTGGCCGGGCCGCTGCGCCGGCCGATGGTGCCGCTGTTCGGTGGCCAGCCGCCGCCGCGCAACCTGCGGCTCAACCGGACCGGCGCCTGGCGGCGGCGGCGCGGCGGACCCTGGACCTAGAGCGACGGGCCCGCCCGTCTGGACTCGCCTCGGCAAGTCCGTCGAACACAGGACGCCGGCTCGAGGTCGGCACGGCAGGGGAAAAGCGCAGCGATGACCAGCGAGGTGGATCTTATCGTGGTCGGCGCCGGGGCGGCCGGGCTGGCGGCGGCCCGGCGGGCGCGGGCGGCCGGCGCCCGCGTGGCGCTGCTGGAGGCGGCCGAGCGGATCGGCGGGCGCGCGCACACGCGGCGCACGCCGGGCGGTCACCCCTGGGACGCCGGTGCCCATTGGCTGCACCAGGTCACGCGCAATCCCTTCGTCGCCTATGCCGACGCCACCGGCCGGGCCTACGCGCCCCGCTTCGCCGGCTACCGGGTCTGGGGGGCCGAGGGCTGGTGGGGCGAGGCCGAGCGCACGGCCTGGGAGACCTGGCAGGACGCGGCCTGGGGCGCCATCGACGCGCTGGCCGCGCGCGGGGGCGAGGCCGCCTGCGCCGAGGCGCTGCCCCCCGATGCGCGCTGGCGCGCGCTGTTCCGGCCGCTGTTCGCCGGCATGGTCGGCGTGCCGCCGGAGATCATGTCCGTGCAGGACTACGCCCGCAGCGCCGAGAGCCCGGAGAACTGGCCGCTGGCCGACGGCTACGGCGCCTTGCTGGCGGCCTGGGGCGCGGAGGTGCCGGTCGAGCTGGCCACACCGGTGCAGCGCATCGACACGCGCGGGCCCGGCGTCGCGGTGGAGACGCCGCGCGGCCGGCTGAGGGGCCGCGCCCTGGTCTGCGCCCTGCCCCTGGGCGTGCTACAGGCCGGCCTGGTCGGCTTCACCCCGGCCCTGCCGGCGGCCGTGGCCGAGGCGGTGCAGGCGCTGCATCCGGGCCTGGCCAATAAGGTCGCCTTCGAGGTCGATCCCGACCTGCTGGCGGACTTTCCGGCGACCAGCTTCCTGGCCTTCGACGAGGGGCCGGAGACCCTGCGCTTCCAGGTGCGGCCCTTCGGTCGGCCGCTGCTGATCGGCTACCTGAGCGGCGAGACGGCGGAGACCCTGGAGACCGAGGGACCGCAGGCCATGGCCGCCTTTGCGCGCGCACGGCTGGCCCGGGTCTTCGGCGGCGCCGCCGTCCGGGCCGAACGGGCGGTGCAGACCACCGCCTGGCTGCATCATCCGCTCAGCCGCGGCACCTACTCCTGCGCCCCGCCGGGCCGCTCCGGCGCCCGTGATCTGCTGCAGGAGCCGGTCGACCCGCGGCTGGTGCTGGCCGGCGAGTACGCCCACGACTGGGCCTACGGCACGGTGCACGGCGCCCGCCTGAGCGGCGAGCGCGCGGCCGGACAGGCCCTGGCCGCGCTCGGTTTCCCTCCGGCCGAGGGACCCGAGGAGGCCGAGGTCAGGCCGCCTGCGGCGGCCCCATCGGCATGAGGCGGATGCCCGGGCGCAGGTTGCGGTAGGTCAGCGCCAGGTGGTCGACCGGGTTCGGCCCCGGCGCGGCGGCCACCACCACCTCGCTGGCGATCGGCTGGAAGTCGGCGCGGAAGTGCACCGAGGACTTGACCGCGACGAGGCGCCGGGACTCCGGCTCGACGCCGAGGTGGCGGAACATGTCGCGGTCGGCGGCCTGGGCCTTCTTGCAGCCGACCACCACCTCGACGCCGCCGATTTCCAGCAGCGCCATCGGGCCCAGGCGCATGCGCGCGCCGCGGTAGAAGGGGCCGGTGCAGGTGAAGACGCCGTCGCCGACCCGCTTGACCCTGTAAGTGCCGCGCAGCGGCGCGTGGCCCGGCAGGCCCGAGTGGGCGCCCAGCGCCAGCTCCAGCCGGGCGCCCTCGCCCGCCTCGGCGGCGCGGCGCGCGTTGTCGGGATCGAACAGCACGCCGATTACCGCCTCCGGCGCGCGCTGGCGCACCAGCTCGGCCAGCAGGCCGACCGTGTCGCCGTTGCCGCCGGCGCCGGGATTGTCCTGGGTGTCGGCCAGCACCACCGGGCCGTCGCCCTTGGCCGAGCGCTGAATGGCGTGGGCCACGGCCTGATCGGCCGGCAGGATGCGCCCGGCGAAGCCCGCTTCCTGCGCCGTGGCGGCCTCGTAGAGCGCGTCGGCCGCCCGCGCGGCCGCGTCCTGGCTCTCGCCGTAGGCCACCACGCTCGGCCCGGCGTGGTGGATGTCGGCCGGCGAGAAGCCGCAGGCGAAGGACAGGCTGGCGACGCCGCCGCCCTCCAGCCCCGGGATCTGGCCGTAGAGGCTGCCGGCCGGCTCGATCAGGGTGCAGCCGCTGGTCAGGGGGATCAGGAAGGGAAGCTGGCGGTAGGCCTTGTGCCGCGGCCCCCGCCCCGGCCCGGCGTTCATGAACCGATGCAGCAGCCGCAGGGCGCGTGCGCCGGTCTCCGCCATGTCGACGTGCGGATAGGTGCGATAGATCACCAGGCCGTCGGCCAGCTCCACCATCTCCGGGGTGACGTTGGCGTGCAGGTCCAGGCTGACGACGATCGGCAGGTCCGGGCCCAGGCGGTCGCGCAGGCGGCGCAGCAGCTCGCCCTCGCCGTCCTGGTGCGCCTCGCTGACCATCGCGCCGTGCAGGTCGAGGTAGAGGCCGTCGAGGCCGCGCAGGGCGTCGAGGTCGGCGAAGATCTGGCCGACGATCCGCTCGTAGGCGTCGACCGTCACCTTGTCGGAGGGCGTCGCGGCCGCCCAGGACAGCGGCTCGACCTGGTGGCCGAGGCTGCGGGCCTCCTCGATCGCGCCGGCGGCCGGCAG